AATTCGCGATCGCAACGAACTATAGGAGGCGTTGTTGTATGAGACTAATACCTGCGATTTCTATATGAACAGTCATTCATTTACACTAGAGACGTCTTTAGTGTAGCTTGTAGCATTGCAACGTTCCTTTTTTATCGTGGCTAATTAAATTTAAAAAAGAAAAATGTTTAATATCCTTTCTTATGCAAACGAAAACAAAATGGTATCTCTTTTTTTTAGAGAAGGAACATCCAAAACACATCGGAAAAATATTTGCACATAAACAGAAAAAAATATGTATATTCTTATAAGAGTTAAAACCTAATGCCCGAGAAATAGTTTTACTAAATTTAATGATATAACATGAAAGGCCTATTTAAACTTTACAAATTATGTACAGGTGGAGCAAAGCTGCGGGACACATCTTCACCGTTTCATTTCCAAAATATAAGTGTACACTTAACATTTCGTTCATGTCATGTGATCTAAAAAACCCAAACCTTTTTTTATATCTTCTTTGTTAGGAGCGGTGAAGCAAGATCTCTCTCTATATATATACATATATATATATAAATACAACAATAGTCAACTCCAGTCTCATTATTGAGACCACAACCTACTTTCGACGTCAAATAACCAATCAATCACAGAAGGCAGGTGACTGCACATTACAGTGGAGTGTATATAAATAATATCCTAGTGCAGTGGTCGGCAAAGTGCGGGTCCAGAGCCGCATGTGGCTCTTTGGCTTCTTAATTGCGGCTCTGGCTTACATGTCCACGGAAGGCGCAATAATATTTTCTTTAAAAAAAAAAACTTGGTAAGGAAAAAATTACATCTTATTCTGATAATTTAAAATTCTTCTATAAATCGAGAACATGTATAATTTTTTGTTTAAGTTAAAAGATAGATAGGTAATTAAAATTTTACATTGTAGTAAAAATACGTAACGAACATCGAGTTTAATTTTATTAGTTTTCGTAAACGCAAACACAAACCATGTTCAATCTACCGGCTGAAATTGAACTGAATTGCGCCCCCCTTTCAATTTTTAAAGTAAAAACATTCTTTTATACAGAAAAATTTTAAATTTTATACGTGAAGATGTGTGAAACTAATTTAAAGGGCTTTCATTAATTAACACCCCTAATTATCTATCAAACTTGATTTAACTTAAACTTCAATGCCTAGAACTAGCTGCATGTTTTCTTATTACATAACAACATAAAACTTACTCACAATCCTCGAGATGTTCACCATGCACAACGAAAGAACAGCCTCGTATTACATCATTTAAATCTTGAATATACTCTAGCCGTTCTTCGGGTGGAAGTGTAGCTATGTCAACATATCTAAAAGTAGGTAGAACCTATATAAAATAAATGGTTTTCAGTATTGAGTAAAATACAATCCGGATCTTATACCTCTTTCGTAATTCTGGAAACACATCAGTGAGCATTATATATAAATAAAGCATAAAAAACTTCAACTAATCTTTTTATGTTAATTTCTGTTAATCTTTCTCTTAATTCATTATTCAAACCGAAACGCTTTTTCACATATTTTAAAATACACAACATCTTGTCTTTTAATCTATTCTTAGTTTAAGTATGCATTATATATATCCATATATATAATGCATATATATATATATATAATCATCTGCAAAATCTTGCTGTCAACAGGGAAGAAAATACATTGGAAGTTAAAAACCCAAGCATAAGTTGGAGAGATTTTTTTGAAGTGTTAAACTCTCAAATTCAAGGTCATTATTAAATAAAAAACGAAAGTAAAAGCGAGAACAGAGATGGTCAGTTGACTGCAATTATAAATTTTCGTACCCGCTACTTTTGAAACAAATTTACCTAATTTATATTTAAATCAGGTCAAAAGGTGTTCGCAGAATATCAATCAAATATCTATACAATTTTACGTGGATACTGTGTTCACATCTTATTAACATCTGAACACTCCGTAAAAATGGATTTCAACATATTTGAGATACACTAGATTAACATAACTAGATTAACAAGAAAACGAATTAATAAAAATATGATTAAGGAAGCATTGGAAAACAAACTAAACCTTGGTGATGACCTATTTGATTCAAGCGGCTACTTTCATACGAAGACTTTTATACAATTTTCTAACATTCCTTTTTTTTTTCAACTTTTACTCTTAATGCTTTTACTCTGGTTTTTAATTACAACCGTCACTTTTTCTTTTCAATAAGACTGAGCTTCAGTGACTTTTATGGAATATTTTTGTACCAAAGTTTGAGTTGCGATGTGAGGAAGTTTCTTTCCACAAAGTNCTCTCTCTCTATATATATACATATATATATATAAATACAACAATAGTCAACTCCAGTCTCATTATTGAGACCACAACCTACTTTCGACGTCAAATAACCAATCAATCACAGAAGGCAGGTGGCTGCACATTACAGTGGAGTGTATATAAATGATGTCCTAGTGCAGTGGTCGGCAAAGTGTCGGCAAAGTAATATTGGAAGTTGTGCTTATAGCTTGAATCGAATAAAATAAAGTTAAAAAATATATAATTGATCGAAGAAGAAGAAAAATTCTTTTAAGTAAAATATTAGTGCTGCCATCTATGAGAAAAAATTAGTAAAAATCTAATACAAATTGAAATAATAATAAAAATGCTTAACGGATTGATTAAATTAGACAAAAAAAAATGATAAAGAAAAATATATATATATTTATATTAAAGATCATCTATAAATATTAAAGCGCCGTTTATATTGTTATTCCTTAACTATTGAATTGCAATTAGCTCATCTGAACAGATGCTGGTTGTGTCAAGTAATTTGTAACAGGCAGGGTGAACAGCGGAACCCGTCTTGTCAATTGCATCACCTGAAGCCATTCTATTTATAGTAACTTCCATTCTATCATCTGCAAATATCTTGCTGTCATCAGTCTATTAATGATATCTACGAAACGCTAGTGGGTAAAATTTCCACTCGATTAAATCTTATACGAGGAAGGCTGTCAAGAGGGAAGCAAATACAGTGGAAGTTAAGAACACAAGCATAAGTTGAAGAGATTTTGAAGTTAAACTCTCAAATTTAAAGCACTTATTAAATAAAAAACGAAAGTAAAAGCGAGAACAGAGATGGTCGGTTGACTGCAATTATAAATTTTCGTACGCGCTATTTTTGAAACAAATTTACCTAATTTATATTTAAATCAGGTCAAAAGGTGTCAGGTCAAAAGAAATATCAATCAAATAACTATAAATTTTAACATCTGAACACTCCGTAAAAATGGATCTCAAAATATTTGAGATACACTAGATTAACTTAGCTAGATTAACAAGAAAACGAATTAATAAAAATATGATTAAGGATGCATTGGAAAACAAACTAAACCTTGGTGATGACCTATTTGATTCAAGCGGCTACTTTCATAGGAAGACTTTTATACAATCTTCTAACATTATTTTTTTTTAAACTTTTACTCTTAATGCTTTTACTGTGGTCTTTAATTACAATCGTCACATTTTCTTTTCAATGAGACTGAGCTTTAGTGACTTTTATGGAATATTTTTGTACCAAAGTTTAAGTTGCGATGTGATGAAGTTTCTTTCCGCAAAGTATGTATATATATATCTACAGGGTGATTCTAAAAAGACGGGCAAAATTTTAGGAAGTGATAGTACACACCCAAGCAAATAATTTTTATCAAAGAATGCATGGTCGAAAACAAAACGCAAAACCGCTAGAGGGCGTCAAAGTTTATGTTCTTATATGCAGCAAAAACACACAAAGAACGATGAATTTAAGTTACAAAAGCAAATTTAATGACATGTGATTACAATAAGTGTTCAAAACAGTGGCCGGCAGCGGCTATGCACGCAGTACAACGGCGAAGAAAAGATAGGTGAGCATTCTGTAACACACCAGGCATATCACGAACCTTCCGTACAGCTGCCGAAAGCTTGGCGACAAGTTCTTCTGCAGATTCAATGGAAGTCTCATACATAAGAGCCTTCAGCTATCCCCACAAAAAGAAATCGAGACGTGAAAGATCTGGCAAGCGCGGTGGCCAAGCTATAGGACCACCTCGCCCAATCCATTGGTTTGGAAAGGTAACGTCCATATAGTTTCGCACTTCTCATACGTAATGAGATGGTGCTGCGTCATCAAACAACGTTTGCATCAAACAACTTTCCAAATACGCCAGCACCTTTGCGTTTTATTTTCGACCATGCATTCTTTGATAAAAATTGTTTGCTTGGGTGTGTACTATCACTTCCTAAAATTTTGCCCATTTTTTTAGAATCACCCTGTATATATATATATGTATATATACTTTTGTATTTTTGATGCTGGCTCTGTACAACCTATATACCAAGCAGCAGAATTTACAGAGTTAATCTGAAGCGCAATCTTCATATTCTTTTATTCAAGAATTCCATTTCTTCATATTCCAAAAATTAGGCATAGTCTAACATATATCAAGCGAAAATTGTACATCAATTAAAAAATGTAGCACTAAGTCATATTTTATGTAAATTTCTGAAATTCTGTAAATAAATAAATAAAAA